CCCCACAAGACAAGGACGGAGCAGCCGGAAAAGCTGGAGGAAGGGGGGCCCACTGGTCAGACCCTGAAGCTTCGGCCGGGAGACAAGACTCGAATGCCTCTGCCGCCCCCCCGGAAGGGGCAACCCCCGAAGCTGCCCGAGTCTCGAGATCAAGTAACCCCTGCTCCGACCCCGAAACCCTCAGACGCTTCGGGGCCGGAAGCAGGGGCGGGGGACCAGAACGAACAGAAGGGGAAGGACGAGGAGGTGCGGACTGAACCAGGATCGAAGCGACCCCCACCCCCAAGTCCGGGTCTCGAAAAGCAAAGCGGGGCAGCCCCGGGGCATCCGGGGAAGCAACCAACCGAGCGCGTTGCAACAGACGAAACCTAGACTGCAACGCACGTGCCGCCTGTACCCGAATAGAATCATCAGAGGATTGGGTAAATTGAGTCACAAGCAAGCAGCAACACTCACAGGACTCAGGGTCGAAAGTATCACCGACCCAACAGGCAGCGTGGCAGAGGCAAAAACAATGAGGGTCACCCTGAGACAAGGGGACCGAGCAACCCTCAAACTCGCACACAGCGAGTGGGGACTCCGGGGTCACATCCATCGGACCCACGCGCCCCCTAGGGGATTCCCAGGGTCCTGAGCGTTTACTTTAAGAGGACTCGCGCTCAGGTAGTCCCAGGCAGGGTGCTGCAAACCGGCGCCCAAAACTACCAAGCAAACTTCTAAAGCTGAACCCCAGGGACGTGTACACTCACGGGGACCTAGCAGGGGGCGCCACCGAGGAGAACAGTGGAAGGGCAAAAACAAACTGAATAAAATGACAGAACCCCCCACCAGGCAAAAAACAAAAAGAAAAACAAAACCCCGCAAGAGGACAGCGAACCCCAAGGAACAGAGCCGGCCGCGATGTCGGGAATTACAAGCTGAGCAGCACCCTGCGCCCCTACCAGTGCAAACTGCCTCTTACCTGCCGGTAACAAGGGAGAACAGAACACCCAAGAGCCCAACAGGCGGCCGAAAAACCGAAAGGTAAAACGGACCAGCAGAGGCAGACCCCGAGGAGCCTGTGGAAGGTGGCCCCAAGCCCCAAGGGCAGTACTTACAGGGCACCTAGGGAAGGCAGCCCTAGGCGCATGCAGCCCGAGTACTGAAGATAACTCCTGGCTCTCGCACCCACAAAACTAACACCACACTCAAAGCACAGTGCAGTAGCGACACCGGAGCCAGAGCACACGACCACCGCCAATAGCATCAGCCTCAAGAACTGAGGTGTGGGTAGCCGGCGCGGGGGGTCTGGGGCTCCCCCTTCCCCCTCCCGGGGAGGGGGGAGCTGCGCAGACAGCGGCGCGGCAGTGTGTGACGTCACACTAATTTGCTTGTTTTCGGTTGGGGAGTTCTATCCACTAGTTCGGTATTAGGTAGCAATTTTAACCAGAATAGGGGTTTGTTTTGGGGCGCTTACCTTTCTGGGTGCCTGTTCCGGTCGATGGCAGACATAGAATGCTTCCAACTACACGGGGGCTTCTATAGGCCATTGCTCCCCTTGCCTCTCTGAGGGGGCCCGGTTCTGGCCGTGGTCCCCGGTAGGCCTAAGAACTCCATACACATGACTGATGCCAAAGTCTGACATTAGCATATCAGCCTGGGATAGCTCCGGGGAGCCGACGGGGCTCCCCCCAGAAATCATTACTTATACAGCTTAATCTTATACCTCAAATTAGAAGCAAATTTGTTAATAAGAATTTACTCATCTACTGTATTATACAATGCATTCATCCATACTGAAACAATAATAAAACATTTATCCTAACAATTTAATGTTGTCCTTGTACAGAGATACAAAACCGAGTGCCACAGTGTTATAGACAAACGATGCATAACATGTTTCCCAGTAAACCTATTAGCACAGGTTTTGCTGGTCGAAAATTAGAAACCACAATTTTAAAAGACTAAGAAGAGAGGGGCTCCTGTGCATGTGAGAGAAATTATCATCATTAAAACAAATGATGAAATCATCAACATAGAGCATGGAAAAATCTCTGATAGGAAGAGGAAATAATGGCATTCTGGCTATCTATAGCCTTGATGTTATATGCCACCCCAAGAGATGGGGTATGTTGTGCCATTACGAGATGGCACAACATAAGTGTCTCTAGAAAACATTCACTATTTCAAACTATCTAGCTCATTCCTATTTCTTTTGTATATTGTTCCACTCTATCCTTCCAAGATAATTGTCATCTGCCTCTACTATACAATCCCCTTATTTCACCCCTTCTCACTGAATGGTTCTCAGGCATTGTATTAACATGTCCATACCATCTATGTCAACTGTGCTTCACCCACCCCATTTTTCATTCTCTCTTACCACATCTCTTATATTTCCTCACTGATATACCCATCCTACATACTTACACCTGCTACTGTCTTCAAGAAACTCACTTCCATAATTAGTACTCTTTATGCATACCCAAGGTTAACTTCTGTGTATCAGAATTTGGAATAGTATAGTACAGTATAGTATACTCACTCACTCACTCTCTCATTTCTTTTTATTATACTACTCACCTCTTCTGCAATGTCTCCCCCATTCATTATCTTCTCTTGTTTCACCTTCCATACTCTCATTTTTATCTACACTCCTAAGTGTTTAAAGCTTGCCTCTTCCAGTACTCCTTTCCCTAGTTTTATACCACAGTTCTTAATCACGATCTTGCCACAATAATGGTTGACAAACTCCCTGACATCCCATTCCTTGCAGACGAAGTGCCACAATAACGTGGCTGAAGATATGATGACCAAACCCCCATAACAGAAGATGAAGAAACAATGACATTTTGGTCCATCCTGGACCATTATCAAGCCATATGTGTTTGATAATGATCCAGGATGGACCGAAACGTCGTCTTTTCTCCATCTTCTGTTGTGTGGTTTGGTCACCATCCCATTCCTTCTTCTCAAACATTATGAGCTTACTTTTTCCTACCTTCACCTTGACTTTGTCCTCTTGTACATGCTATCAAATTCATACACAATTCCACCTCACTCTTGGTTAAGAACACAGCATTATCTGCCTAAAAAGTATCAAAAGCAACACTCACAGTTCACTTCCACTCCAGGTGTTCTTACCATCCATAAATGAGAACATTTTGGAGAAATGTAGTGGATTTCAACTCTTGTCTCTCATCACTTTCGCCTGGTGTGACTAGATGTGCGAATTCAATTCCACCGCAGTGCTCCAAAATGTTCTCGGAAATTCCATGCTCTTATGATTTCATTATCTATAAATAAATACGTTAAAAGACCAGGGAGACATTACACAATTACACTCACTCTGACATTAATTAAATGCCTAGACACCCAGTCCACAAGTGAAAAACATTATGACATTTCAAAACACCACTGGAATGGGTGTCTAATTTTCAGCATATTATTGTGACTTATTCTATGTTGAAAACCCTCTCCCAATTTCCTTCTTTATTCTCACACATCTTCTTATTCACATAAAAGAATTTCAATATACAGTAGTTAATAAACTCCATCCTACCCTATAGACATCTAAAAACATCCCACAATGCTTAATGATAAATTCAGTCACATACACATTCCTTAAACTAGCAGGAATGTTCTTCAAGAACAAGAAGACACAAATTTCACCCAAGGAAATAAAGGTGCCAAAAAAATATTAGAAAGTTTTCTTTTGCAAACAGAGTGATAGACGGTTGGAACAAGCTGAGTGAGAAGGTGGTGGAGGCCAAAACCGTCAGTAGTTTCAAAGTGTTATATGACAAAGTACAGAAAAGATGGGACACCACAAGCGTAGCTCTCACCCTGTAACTACACTTAGGTAATTACAGTACTTATTCTAAATCCATACAGGGACCATACAATTTTCTATTCATTGTTAAGACACTTCACAACAACCATTCTCACAGTAAAAATCTAACCTGTAGTCCTTTTACCATTTTAAACCTACCTTCCTCCTCCTACAATATTATTTTCTCTTACTCTCAACTTGTACCCTTGCATACACATTTTGTGGGATGGTAAGTAAACAACTGTATTTTCTGCTGGATACGACACATTGTTATAACAATAAGTTTAAGCTCAATGTTGTAGCTTATGCAAAAGAGCTTGTTAACAGGGAAGCTGCATTTTAAAATCCCTTTCAGTAATTGTACGATGAAACATACTAAAACATTTTTTTCCATAATATATCCTTTTAAATTTGGCAAGTCTTATACGCTGGAAAATATGGTAATGTCCCTACAGGTTTTGCAAACCTTTAATAAATCCTTTCTGACATATACAAATTTGAGCCACTTAATGTTAATTTGTTAATGGAAGTAACACTCACCAAATTAGCTGATAATCAAGGCTTCAAAACTTGAGACGTCAACCGCAGTAATGAAGGGCACATGGCTAACCTGGAAACATTGGTCACCTTCAGCACATTTACCTTCAGTGAATTGTCTTGATGCACATGTTAAGTTATTTTCAATTAATTTACTCTGCATTTTCTTTAAAGATTAGCTTGGTGAGGGAAGCTCAATTGTTTCATTAGTTTTCTGTTCAAATCACCAGTCATGCTCCTTCTCCTCCCATTGTGGATTCTTCACTGTGCTTAACCCTTATTTACCACCAATTCTGTACACACACACATATTGCCTTTTTTACGAGACTTTACTAAAGCTTAAATTAAAACTCATCTCACATGTTATTTTAGCAGCAGTTTTACAACTCATCAAAGCTTGCAACTTTCTCAAGTTCCTGAGGGATTATCTTATCGGCAGCAACTATTTCAAGTTAAAATATTTTATTAAGCTTCCACAATTATGGATTCATGAAATCAAATAGTATTAAAATAAAAGGTTAAAAAACAAACTGGAGTAGGAGGCCACACATCCATATACACCAAGACCTGGTAGGTGATACAACAGCTTAGCAGCCACATGCCACAGCAGCCGTGTATGTACATGAACTGTATGGGTATTAAAACAAACAAATTTACATTTCAAAGTGATTCTTGTATTAAAAACAATAGTATTACTTCATTAATTGTAAATAAGGCAGCTCTATGTAAAGATCATGAAGCCAATACCAGCAACAAAACCATCCCCCCCCACCCCCAAAAAATACATAGTAAACAGTGGCAAGGTGTGTGTGTGTGTTGGTGAAATTTCAAGCAAACCTGTTTAGGCATTACTGAAATATTTTCAAACACATACATTCCCAGCACAATGGAATCACACAAACATGATCTAGCTTTGAAAAAATATTGCAATCCATACAATAGATCCCTTAGGAGTTCGGGGATGCAGGTTCGAACCCATTGTATGACTATTATTTTCTCACAAACACTCCCTCCTCTGAAAACTAATTTGTAATAACTGTTACTATGAGCAATCAACATTAAAACATACTACAAGTCATGCATCCCTAAACGCACATGTTTAAACATTTAAGGTTAGTGTTAAAACAATTTTAAGAAACATATTCTGTACTGTACTGTAATAGTTCAAATATTGGCAGCAAAGAAAAGCATCACTAATAGAGACATGTGTGTTTCAAAGCTTAAGGTAAACACTAACTACAATACAGACGATGAGTGACATTAATGTGGTTGATGATATGATGACCATACCAAACACCAGAAGATGAAGAAACGATGACGTTTCGGTCCTTCGTTTCTTCATCTTCTGGTGTGTGGTCTGGTAAACACTAACTACAATGTCAATGGACAGCCAGGAAACAAAAGTTTCATCATCTCTCAAAAACAAGATACACAATAGAGAGCCCAAACATGTCACAGTCGGACACCATACAATAATTTATTTCAAAACAATAGTCACGTTACCAAAGAATTTGTATATCTAACAGAACAATAGAAAAAAAAAAGAGATGCAGGAAAACTCCGAGCACAATCTGGTACACAGTACGATATAGTAATGTTTATTGTATTCAAATTTTACGAAAACTGTCTCACAAACTCTTTAACTATACTTCAGATACAGTGTAATTCCCCCTCAACCTACTAAATATAAATTATAATTAGCTTCCAAAATTGCAAATAAAAAAAAGAAATGCCACTACAGAGTACAAAAATATAAGCATTTCAGATCTGAAAAAGTTGAGTCAGGCATATAAAATATTCTTGAAATACCTCCATTAAAAAATTACTTCTAAAACTGTTATGAGGAGGCAACAAATTACAAAAAAAAATATTTTTTATAATACACAAAATCAAACACATAAGCATATTAACTGAGGACTCCACCTAGCAGGCCAGCCAGAGGCCTAGAGTCTGGACAGGAAAAATCCCTGGGAGAGAAAAAAAAATACTGAGGAATCGTTCATATATTTAAGGACGATGACCAGTCTTCAGAGATGAACACCACACAAATTATCATTCCAAAATGATACATCACAATGCATAATTTCCAAACTAAATGCATTTCAAAAGTGAGGAGGCAAGGTAATTATCTGGAGAAAGCACTAAGCCAAAGCAATCATGTTATACCCTTCATTAAAATAAACAAATACTGCTTCCAAAACTTTTACCAACATTTAATTTTACCTAACAATACAATATATTACAAAATGATAAGGAATACATATGAATTTAAAACCAAATGAAGGACTCATGATCAAAATTTCCATTAGCATAATTTTTGGGTGAAATTTATGAACATTGGTTTGCATCAGAATAAAACAGACTGCACCTTTGCAGTCGTCCTCTTAAATAATAGTTTATGTCCCTCCTGAGAACCAGTTTATGCCCGTCCTGAGAAACAACACGATGCATCTTACTACGGCATATGGGTACCAGATCAAAGTATAATACATATGCCCTTGAAAAGACATTGGGGGGTGATACTCTCCCACCAAATATTATGAAAAACAATTTTAGCATCAAACGAATACTCGTAACACACTGGTGCCAAGCCAAGCATAAGAAACAAACTCAAGCTGCTTCAGAAGATATCAAACATACTTTATTGTGTTAAAATACTCCAAGGGTTAAAACCATATAAATTAAACTCCTCCTCACTCAAAATATAAATGAAATAACATACAACTTATCATATGGTAATTATGTATATGTATCTAACCTGGTACACAATTCGTCAAGCATTTACACATCCACTTAGGAAACCTGTTCATCTTTCAACAATCATGTTGACTTTAGTGACATTTAATTTATGGGCTTGGAAACTTCACAACGCAAGGTTATTATTATTATAAACAACCTAATAGAGCACAAAACATTGGGTATAATTTGGATAAGTTTAGATTTAGGAAAGACCTGGGTAAATACTGGTTCGGTAACAGGGTTGTTGATCTGTGGAACCAATTACCGCTTAACATAATAGAAATAGGATCCCTTGGCTGCTTCAAGAGCAGGTTAGACATATATATATATATATGAATGAGATTGGGTGGATATAAATAGCTGCTGCCTCTTATGGGCCAATAGGAGCTGCATCGTATGGGCTAATAGAAGCTGCCTCATATAGGCCATTAGGAGCTGCCTCATATGGGTCAATTAGAACTGCCTCGTATGGGCCAATAGGAGCTGCCTCGTATGAGCCAATAGGAGTTGCCTCGTTTGAGCCAATAGGAGATGCTTTGTATGGACCAATAGGAGATGCTTTGTTAGGGCCAATAGGAGATGCTTTGTAGGGCCAATAGGCCTCTGCAGTTACCTTCATTCTTATGTTCTTAACCTCACAGCACTTTGGAAGTCATAAACGGCTTAATACACGTAAACAAATCTGCCATAATTATTGAAAAAATGTACAGGTTTCCTAAGTTGATGACTCCCAGGCCAGGTCACTGGCTTGGAAATATCATCTAGAATGACAATCCACATAAAATGGAGTTCTGAAAACAGTTATTGAAATAGTATGTACTATGTTCATTGTGAAATGTTGATGCATATTGTTTCAAACTTTAAATGCTTTTAGAATATCATCAAAGGACATATATCAAAATAATGATTAACAAAAATATAAATTAATATATGATAATCCGTTGGAACATGAACCAAGGAGATAAAGGTGCTCACTCAATTTTACATCCGTGCTGCCCTACCCTTAATACACCCCCTTGATGCCTTACTGTTAATACACCCCTTGCTGCCCTACCCTTAATATGCCCCATGCTGCCCTACCTTTAATACACCCCTTGCTGTCTTACCTTTAATACACCCCCTTGCTGCCCTACCCTTAATACACCCCTTGCTGCCCTACCCTTAATACACCCCTTGCTGCCTTACCCTTAATACATACCTGTTTGCCCTTTCCTTAATATATCCCTGGCTGCTGCACCCTTTATACATGTATTGTTGCCCTATCCAAAGACATTTCCCTCTGCTGCCTTACCCTAAACATATCCAATGACTGCCTTACCTTAAACAAATCGCTGGTGGCCTTATGCTTAATTTATAGCCGGCTGCCTTACCCTAAACATATCATTGGCTACCTTATCCTAAACAAATTGCTGGCTGCATTACCCTTAACAAATTGCTGACTGCCCTATCCTAAACATTATCTTTGGCTATAGAAGAGTTTTCTCTCTCATCATTCTCCAAAGTGTACAAGCTTTAAGAGAACTACTAAAAAATTTCCTAATGCTTGAAAAGCAAGATAGCTTAAAATGTAAGCAAAATAGTTAATAGGCAGGTCAGTTTATTTGTTCTAATATGTTTAGAAAAATACCAAGCCATGAACAGGTTTTGCTCGCCAGTCATCACCTGCACTTCTGACTCCTCAACACACTTTTCACTTGCCGGACATCACTTTCCCTAATGTCCTGTGACACACCTATGGCTTGCCAGTCATCACCTGCACTTCTGATTCCTCAACACACTTCTCACTTGCCAGACATCACTTTCCCTAATGTCCCGAGACACACCTATAGCTTGCCAGTCATCACCTGCACTAATGTCCTGTGACACACCTGTGGCTTGCCAGTCATCACCTGCACTAATGTCCTGTGACACACCTGTGGCTTGCCAGTCATCACCTGCACTAATGTCCTATGACACACCTGTGGCTTGCCAGTCATCACCTGCACTACTGACCCCTCAACACACCTCTTACTTGCCGGACATCACTTTCCCTAATGTCCCATGACACACCTGTGGCTTATTAGCCATCACCTGCACTACCTTCTCCCGACACACCGGGCTTCTCGGACATCATCTCCACTACCATTTCCGGCTTGTCAATTCTTATTTACACTTCAACTACGCATACTGCATTTGGCTTTTGTGACATTTTACAGCTAAAATGTGTAATCCTCTCATAAGAGCATTATAGGTTTCACCACATTTTTACATTTCAATTGGCCATGAATTAAAAAAAAAAAAAAAAATTGAAACACACACACTAACGTACATCATGTAATTTTGCAGTGTGGAATCTGAACTTTGTACAGCTCGTGCCTAACATCTGTGATGAACTATACCACTTATTTTTATCATAAAAAAAAAAATAATGGACTTGTTAAAAATAGCACCTGAATTATTCTTGTGAAATAAAAAATATTTTTACCAGAAAATTTAAACATTAAATTTAGCTTTCCATCTGAGTTTTATATCTTACACACTAAGCAACGCTGTATAAAAAGTCTTATCCTGAATTATCAGTATTGAAGCTAGCTAAAACTAAAACTTGTTATTTTCTTAAGCTGGTGTTTATAAAATTTCAATGTTTACAAGAATATCTTCCATGTAAAATCCTAACTGCATGTAAATGTAACCAACAACCCAAACTCACATACTGCGTCTAATTAACACATTTCAATTTCTACATAGGCTATGAATTTTTATTTATAGCAAAATTATACAAGTGCTGCAACTTATTTGGAAATCTTTAATGTTTAACATTTCAAAACATGGGGCTAGACAAGGAAAAAAAACCAGAAACTGTTATTGGAACATATTAAGACTAAACATTTCAAAGCATGTTGACGGAGTGCGAGGACTACAAATACATAATGAGAAACAGAACCCGATAAAAGAACGTATTCTGAGTCAAGTTCTACATTTTTTCCCATCACGATCATCATCAAGACCAGAAGATGTCTTTCCCTAACGATTCACAAAACACTCACGACTAAAATCTCACTACTAAAATAATACCAATACTCTGCTGTAAATTCCTGGTACTGTAGAGAGTAAATAGGTATACTTCCATAACACTGAAAGTGCTACTTGCTTGCAATGACATTTTGAAGAATTATTAAAGGTTATTAAAATTATTCAACTGACAAGCACTTCAGGACACAAGCAAAATCCCTTGCATGTACATGACAAGTAATTATCAAAAGCGCTAGGTTCAGTCAGCTGTATAGCACAGTCTGTATTACAAAAAATTCAGGAGTTGCTACGTATCATTTAGGATGTCAATACAAAAGCAGAAAGACGTGAAATGAGCAATGTCAAAGGAGTCAGATTTACCAAGGATTTTATGGAAGGATTTAAGACTTAAAGGAACAGCAATGAATGACTGCTAGCATGTAGGCAAAAATAATAGTTGAAAAGATATAAAAGCCATACTGCATGCACATTTAGGTATATGCAATGTTTATTGTTCTGTCTTCAGGTTCAGCTTAACTACTCAGGTGACTAATTCATAAAGTACATTCCACCATAACAGCCTGTATAGCACAGTGTGATGTGCTGCACAATGTAGTACATACAGTATCATACTTTATGCCTGGGCTTACTACTGACCTCTGGTCACCTCTGTCACCATCCTACCAAAGCATGTGTTGAGATGTGGTGCGCCCCCTTGAGCTTAAACCCATCTTGTGCTACTATCGCTCATCATAATCATATCAACCCCAAGAGTAGATAGCATAAAGCTACATTAATCTCAGAATTATCTCTTGAGTTTCTTTTCTTATGACACTAGCAACACCAAGTTGGGTTTACCTCATGTCAGTGTTAAACAACTGTACATAAATCACGTTAAATAGATCAACAAGCCACATTTTTAAGAGGCGTTAACAACCGAGGGTAGCCTGGTTGTGCGTAGACTGCACACACACACACACACACACACACACACACACATATTAGGTTGGTATATACAGTACAATATTAAAATACCATATTGTATATACATTACTGCATTATTCTGCTAAAATGTAATGTATTATACATATATTATCACATCCTGAAATTACTTTCACTTTTCCCTTAATTTTGCTTCCTTATTTGTTTGTCCTGTCTAATTTTTACAAAAATTTACAGTTTGTGCATTTGCCAAAATATGATCCTAACATTTGTTTCACAAGGTACAGTATTAATGATACACGTATTTTACCGATACATATTACTGGGATTTGACTATAATGCAATTAAATCTTCATTCATTATGATACAACAAATTAAAGAAACCAAATGAAAATTTTAGGTAGGAATCTGCCCCAAGAAGTGATATGGTTAGAATAAATTGCTCCCATACATGGAATAAGTATCATAATTAAATGCAAGAGTGTAGAAATCGCATGGTCCCAGGGTGTACAGTACTTCCACGTGGTCTGCTCGACCAACCATTAACCCTTACACTGCTATAGTCGCTATCTGTGAGTTCCTCCTGTGTGCAAATCCTTACATGTGACTGATCCTTATATATATCCTTTCAATACCTTTCAACATGTGCACCTTAAATGCAGGACTTAGCTTAGCAGTTTAAGGGTTAATATAAATTCAATCAGGAAAAATGAAAAAGCAGTACTGGCTTCACTAGCTTCTAAATAAGCAAATAGTAAACTAAGCCATGACATGTATAAAATGAATGACAGAAGCTCTGTCATATATGACAAGAAATTCACAATTTTTAACATTTCACTTTCTTCTGACAAAGCTGCCAAAATAAATTTTGAACTTAACTGAAAGTAAGTAAAGAATATAATATTTGACTAAAGAAAAATAATATTTAAAAGTAAAAAAAAAATTAATTTAATTGAGAAAATATATTACAGGAAAACATTTGAGCACAAACGGTCATCTCTATCATTACAGACGACCTTAATGGTCACTAGAATCTATAAGTAACAGCATTCAAACCAAGCATATACAACCTGAAGGCTAAACAGCACTCAGTTAGCATTAGCAGCATCAGCACATGTCACAATTACATTTCATTGGGATGGAATTCTTTAAAACATACTAAATCTTCTTGAATTTCTAAAACCCAAGTTCTTGTGTGTGTCTATTAATGCATTCGGGAGTTACATGCAACCAAATAATGCAATGCTTTGCATTATAATGTTCGTTTGGGTACAACAGTCTTCAGGTAACCTTATAAATATTCAAATATTTTTATTAGGAATTTAAGTAGTAGTACGATGGCTGACCATCACAGCTGACCTACTTATTTTGTGACATTATAGAATTGCTGGGAGATTCTTTACAGTTTCTCCACTACAAGAATTACATTAATAAGATTCACCACATTGTAGCCAAGTCCAATTTCTTTAAATGCTACAAATGAAGATAATTTTATTTAGCCACTTAAAAGTGTCTGGGCACATATCTTTGCACTATTGTTCAGAGAGAGTACAATTTATACTGGTATCAGAATGTTCAAGATATTTGTGATTTCTGTAACTCGTAAAGTCTCTAGTTGAATTTCATTCCAATCACAAAGGTCTCATATCCAAACATCCAATATTTTGTACATCTTTAATGATGTGCAGATAATTCCTCAAAGGTTTTCCAAACCTTTGTTGTCAATGAATTCCACAAGAGCTTTGTAGGTGAACTCATATTGTGCCTGAAAGATAAAATAATATTTGAGACAAATGAGGTAAAGTAAGTACAGTAATTATCACAAGAAGGCACCAAGCCAGGAAGACTGTCTGTGTTGAAGGCTATTCAAAAGGTACTAAGTATAATGCAGGATCCCAATACAAAAGAAAAAAGGCATAAGCTGAGTGATATTGGAGTCACTGAGAATTTTATCAATGAACATAAAGAAACATCACGAAAACAAAATTTTGAATCATCCTGAAAATCAAAGCTTAAGGGGCCAGGAATCGAAAAAATATTCGAGTACAGTACAGTAATATGAAAATTACTTGAAAATGTTAAACAAATCTCATCAGCGTCATGAAAATTTCAACCCAATATGTTAAGAAATGTATTTTACATGAATTTAAAAAAAGAAAGCAGTGTTGAATGTAATGAAACGCCATTTTCTGGGTGAGCCCCAGACGCTCCCTGGAGCTTATTGGGCTATTGTATGTTATATTAGACCGGGACATTAGCTATGGAGTTCAGACCTACCAGGGACCAGTGCCAGAACCTGGCCCCTTCCGAGAGGTTTCAAGGAGCAATAGCCGTGGAAAATTCCTTTGTGACTGGGGTTTTTCCTTATCTGCCATCGACTGGGGTTAGGCACCCAGAAAGGTAGGCATAACAAAACAATGCCCAAATGTAAGACCAAATTACAAGACAACCCGATGCGAACAAGAAGACAACCTACGAAGAGCAAGAAAATGGGGAATAGAATCGCCAGGAAACTTCATACTGTCACCGAGACGAAGCTCGCAGGTGGGACACCATCAACGAAGCCACCTGATCACCAGAGAGATGGTGATACACCCACGTCAAAAGACCAGACACAAAGAGCCGAGGAGAAGGCCGAACCAGCCACGTAGCGGACTGGTCCGACCTACCGAAACAGGCGGAGCCGCGGGAAATGCCCCGGGTTCGAACACCGATCAAGCAGCGTCTAAAAACAAAGCTGGACCAGCCACCAAGGGGCCACAAGGACTACTCTCCTTGAGAAGGACACCAACTGAGCCCGAATTCGAAGCAACAGCTGGACCGAAGGAGAGGAACAAGTAACTCCACCTCGACTAGTCCTGCCGAAAAGCATCCACTGCAAACGCCTTGCAGGCAGGAAAGAGCGCCACATAGAATGGAAGAAGTAGCGGACTGGTCCGACCTACCGAAACAGGCGGAGCCGCGGGAAATGCCCCGGGTTCGAACACCGATCAAGCAGCGTCTAAAAACAAAGCTGGACCAGCCACCAAGGGGCCACAAGGAATACTCTCCTTGAGAAGGACACCAACTGAGCCCGAATTCGAAGCAACAGGGGGGGGGGGGGAAGGGGATGGAAGAAGTAGGGGGGGGGGGGGCGGGAAATGCTGAAAAATTTAGATTTCAAACTCTATTCTCTTAGTGTCTTTAGGTTGTGTTGATGAATGGGGACCAGATCCAGGCCTTATCACTTATATAAAGTATACTTATAATACTTATTTACCCATTATCCTTATCCCTATATTTTTTTTATTGGGGGGGGGATTTTACCGGACTGCCTTTCAACACATATTGACCTACAACTTTCACATATTTGAGTACGAATGCCAAGCAATGTTTATTAAAACTTACAAGGAAATCGATAATGCAGAACAACCATATTCATTGTCGCGAACTTTTAAGTTAATTTTCTGTATGAACAGGATTTTTGGCTTTGAGACTAGATATCAAATTCTAGTTCTAAGGTGTCCACAATAGCATTTAAAACTCATAACTTTGGGAGTTATGCATTTTTCTGTCTAAATTTTGCGCATATTTTGAAGGCTACTTTTGAAGGGCGCCTGACAGCTAAGTGGATAGTGCTTCGGATTCGTAGTCCTGAGGTTTCGGGTTCAATTCCCGGTGGGGGCAGAGACAAATGGGCAAAATGTTTCTTTTACCCCTGATGCCCCTGTTACCTAGCAGTAAATAGGTACCTGGAAGTTAAACAGCTGCTACTTGCTGCTACCTGGGGGTGTGTAACAGAAAGGAGGCCTGGTTGAGGACCGGGCCGTGGGGACGCTAAGCCCCGAAACCATCGCAAGATAACCTCAAGATACATTGAATATTTTTTTACAGTAAACTATACTCTCAAACAAAATTTTTATATTGAGGAAAATGAACATTATATTCCATTCTGAGGCCATAATGAATCAAATAAAAATTGGTGAAATATTAAATTTGTTATCTAAATTTGAAATTATGAAATTTTTCAATTTTTTTAAATAAAGATTCTTGTTAGTTTTTCTGTTTATGTTATGATATTGATCCATTAGGAAAAGTTGAGAAAGTTTACACCCATCCCCTTAAATGAATTCAGTTATACAGTATATACTGTATAACTATATTTATACAGTATATACTGTATAAATACAGGAATTTCTTCATATTTAAAGTGGCTTGCACCTGACAACAGGATACAGATACAGAATACTTGGCCACAAAACAAATTATTTCCAGACAAATGTATTCATGCCACAGCCACTTATATATCATTCCTTTCTTTTAACTATTTATTCACTTAAATTTGCTAATTCTCTGGTTCATTACGTGTAATTTTAGAATACTAGTAGGAAGAACTATAAATGCTGGAAATTATTCTCTTGTATCTTGTTATATATGATTTATATTGCATAATATAATTACATGTAGGTAATTATTAGTGATGGCACGATTAATCGGAATTGGTATCGAGAACTGAAAGAATCGAGCAGTTTTTTAGGAATCAGAATTGTTATTGAAAATGAGAGAAATTTATCATGATAAGCAATTCTTAAAGCAATTATTTACCATTTACTTACAAAATGAATTTTTCGTTTCAAGTAATAATTAAAAACTTTAAATACAATCATTGTTATTCTCTAAGGTTTCATTTTACGACCTGACAACTTACTTTATGTACACAAAATAAGTATTTGAATTAGTAATTAATAATCTAGTAAATAAACACTAACAATTAAACATTCCAAGGAATTCCTTAGAACATTATATAAAACATTTCTATAGTTAACAATCATTACCACAAGTGGTGACTTACAAATTCCTGAAGAAGAAATTGTCTAAGAGCTCTTATTCTTCTGGCAGTCTGGAACACATCTACACGACCTTCTCGTCGTAGCTGACGTAGGCAGTTGTTGAGACACACGTAAACACTGCTGCGGTCACCACCCCCACTGAAATACATCACAAGTTAGTCTCTAAACTAATGGACAATAAATTCAAAAGACAAAGATATATAAAAGATATTAACAAATTAACACTTTCGCCCGGGCATGACGCACCATTGCGTCATCCGTTTACTGTCGGTAATACCGGGGATGACGCAGCACTGCATTATCCACTTTAAATAATCGCCAAAAATCAGGTTTTTATCCGATTTTTGGGGGACTGGTTTTAAAATGTGCACCGATGTCTTCCTATTTTCTTTGTTGAGCCTCGTGGCCCTCTGGCAGCTTGGCACACACCGTGGGCCCATTGTTTTCGCTCCACTGTTGTGACCAATGTCGCCTCCCCTCGCATCTCAAACGTGTGAACATTTCGGCTATTTTCCGTGGCTATATTTCTTACTGCGGCTTTAGAAACTATCTACGCTTACTCCACGATGGATAGTGATCATGAACAAGGCCATTCCAGGAAGAAAATTGCGAAAGAAAGGCTTGAAAAGGGCGGGAATTGGGAGTGTAGCTGGAAGGCGTCTGAGCGCTCACACGCGGCTAACGCGTGGCCCGTCTTCAACTCGTTGGCGGTTGGAGCGTGACCAGGTTTTTTATTTTATATGCTAATGTTCCTCTAGAGAATTCTATTGCGAACCCATTGAGACCAAAATGAAAGACCTAGGACGAAAATTGAGGTGACCAGAGTGAAAATAGTGAAAACATTTTATCGCATTTGCACGCTTCTGGGTAACTCGTTCGCAATTTCTCTGTTTGCTGCGGGTAATTAGCCGGGCTTTTGGAGTTTATATGCATTTAGTGCTGTAGAGAATTCTATTGCGAACACAATGATACCAAATTTATTCTCGTAGGACGAGAATTAAGGTGACAAAGTTAAAGAGAGTATACACTTTTCAGAATTTACGCGCGCTCCCGTGACACCCAGGGACCCAAATCGCACAGTTGAGGGGTGGCGTGCGGGGTACGCCAAAGTGTTAAGAGAATCTTTATTATCTGTATAAGGTTATCACTAAATACTGATACTTATCACTGATTCGGGAAGAGTACAGCCCAATTGTGTAACTAGCTTCACAAGATTATCTCTTGCTTAGCTAAACGACCAATGGGGTTCAGTTCGTAAACCCACTGTGTACCTCTGTAACCCTTTCCACCACCACCCACGGGAAGGGAATGGGGTGGGATCCATAATAAAGAACGAACTTGAATTGGAATTCAATTCAAATAAGTTCAAAGTGAAGACAACTGGTAAAGGAGAGAAGACCTGTATTTAACTATGCCATAAGGGGAAGGCAATTACAAGAAACAATAAAAGGAAAAGACCTGAGAGTAGACATAGTCCCAACACCAGAAGCTCATGTGAACAGGATAACATCACCAGCATATGGAAGGTTGGTAAACATAAGAATATAATTTCAGACTTTAAACACAGAGGCACAGAGTTCATACACACTGGCCATGTCCACTATCAAACACAGTGCAGGCTAGTAACTCTGCACTGTTAGATAATAGACAGTCCACTGGAACATTATTTAACACAGTGTTGGGTTACAAACAAACAAAATTTAAACTAGAATTCAACAGCACAGAAGAAGTTGTTAAAACACAATGAGTATAATATTACTGAAGCATAAATAATAAAAACTGCCACGTGAGACCATTATTTGAGTATGTAGTTCCAGCATGGAAGCGACACACTGTAAAGCACAAACAAACTTGAGAAAGTTCACAGGTTTACAACTACAGACTAGTACCAGAATTAAGAGGCCTCAGCTATGAGGACAAAGCACTCAGAACTTTGAGAGAAAAAACAAAGGGGATATGATAACTATATACAAGGTCTTGAGGGGAATAGATAAAATGGATAGAGGAAGCCTACTTAAATGAAAAAGAGGTAGGATAAGTGGACATGGGTGGAACCTGGATGTACAATTCTAATTCCCTGTACTGTTGGTATGCAAGTTGAATGTACTGAAAGAAGAGGTTGTTGGAGCCATATACACCCACAACTTAAAAAGGAGACATGATTAAAACGTTAATGTTTGAGAGGGGTAATTAGCATGGCAGGTATGAATGGCTTGGAGGAAAGGCATAAAGACCTACATCTTACCCTCAACCCTCCCTGCCGGTACTCACTGATAGGTAAGCACTGTGTCTTTGGGTGATCGAGGGTGGTATTACCTCCCACCACCGTGTCTAGGATGGCTGTGGGTGATATTCCTCAGCTACCACCGTCAAGGTGGCAGCTTGATGGCCAAGGTGGTAGAGGGGGTATTGTCACCTGCCACTGTATCCAAGGTGCTCAAGGGGGTATTCTCACCTGCCACTGTATCCAAGGTGCTCGAGGGGGTATTCTCACCTGCCACTGTGACCAGGGTGCTCGAGGGGGTATTCTCACCTGCCACTGTGACCAGGGTGGTCGAGGGGTATTCTCACCTGTCACTGTGACCAGGGTGGTCGAGGGGGTATTCTCACCTGCCACTGTGACCAGGGTGGTCGAGGGGGTATTCTCACCTGCCACTGTGACCAGGGTGGTCGAGGGGGTATTCTCACCTGTCACTGTGACCAGGGTGGTCGAGGGGGTATTCTCACCTGTCACTGTGACCAGGGTGGTCGAGGGGGTATTCTCACCTGTCACTGTGACCAGGGTGGTCAAGGGGGTATTCTCACCTGCCACTGTGACCAGGGTGGTCGAGGGGGTATTCTCACCTGTCACTGTGACCAGGGTGGTCGAGGGGGTATTCTCACCTGCCACTGTGACCAGGGTGGTTGAGGGGGTATTCTCACCTGTCACTGTGTCCAGGGTGGTCGAGGGGGTATTCCCTCCTGCCACTGTGTTTAACCCTTGTGTTGCTAAGGGCTATTTGGCCGTTGTCACCCACAGGTGCATAACAAAAAATAACAAACAAAAATTCTTCTAAACCTGTTGATTTGTGTTCCCTGATCATGGGAAAAATAATAAAAAAAAATTTAAGTAGCATATTTTGGCCGCTATAAGGCGGGGAAGTCCAGTAAAAAACGAGGCGCTGACTCAGCATGCATCGGAGGTGGTCTGCTCAGCCCCAGCTGTCAGGCAAGAGTGGCCACAAAGAGATAATTACCTAATTATTTCAATGTCTCTGATTGATTTTTCTTTGTTTTTTTCTGTAATGTTATTCAATAATGTGTAGTGATATATTTACATAATAAAATGTGTGAATCATCGCTGTAATCAAAATTATGGTGTTCATATTATTGATTCAATTATTGTGTTCATCAAACAGTGAACAAATTCTTTGTCGGTTATTACACCATATACACAGGTTATATATATACATATCTGCATGTTTTGTTCACCATAACGAACCACTAAGTTGATATTACGAGTCAAAAAGCAGCGAAGTGTGGCCACCACATCTGCCAGTCAGCCTCTCACCGCCACTCACTCCCTCAATGACTCCTCACTCGCCCACCTCCTCCTCCCACCATACTGTTTTTGCTTTTATTCACTATATACAGATGTTATATATAAGTATCTGCATGTTTTGTTCACCATGGCGAACAACTAAGCTGGTATAGTGAGTCCAGACAGTAAAAGGTGGTCACACAGAGTCAACAGACAACGTTACCTCCCTCCCCACCAAGATTACTCCTCCCACTACAGCGCTAATTATCACAACAATCCTGCTATTATCAGAATCCTGATCATTTTTATCACAGTCAGGGGTCTTCTGTAATACTATTATCGCTAAATAATAGCATGAACATATATAGTATGGCATTTTTAGGCGATGCTGTGGTCACAAGCTGAACAACAGTGCTGTGAGCTCATGCTGCGTTCGCCAGCCTTGGTGGCTCACTCAATACTGAGGACCTCACACCCGAGAATGTGGCCCATGATTTAAAAAAAAAATACCGTCTGTTTACAAGAGCCCTGATGAAGGTGAGGTGAACCCCATGCATCCGCGGGCCATTTAAATCTTGCGCAGTACTCCAACACATTATATGACGTGATGCGCACTTTTGGGTAAGTTACTCAACACGTCATATGACGTGTTGCGCAGTTTAAGGGTTAAGGTGGTTGAGGGGGTATCCTCTCCTGCCACTGTGTTTAAGGGTGGTCTCACCACATCCTGCCACTTGGCCTGCAACCATCTACTCCAAACATCGTATTCATGCATGGGGACTTTATACTGCATGCAGTGCCTAAAAATCCTATTTTGCTGTATTGTACATTTACAAATTTACTATTTTACTGATACATATTACAAGGTATGTACTGTAACCTATCATGAAACTTGTTCAGGACACATAAATAATAGTATATGTTACATATACAATGGTATCACAGTGGTAGTGCATGTGCATGAATTCAGGAATGCAGGTTTCGATCCCATCGTACAGCTTCAACATTTTTTCATACGACACTAAACCTGCAACCCAAAATGTTCTCCAGCACGATAAAGAAAACTTACGAGCAGTGGACGAGTGTAGGAGTTGCAGTAGACAAACTGACGTCAACGTGAGACTGTACCCTGGTGATAATCTCCATGATTCCATGAGTTACTAAGGGAACCTCTCCTAATAGTCCTGACCATCCGATATAATGGAAGTGAGTTACTGTTAATGCATCACCATTCTGTACAAAAATAAAAAAACATTATTAATAATAATGGAGAAACTTACTACAATATTGAAATGTTTGAATAAACACGAAGAAAAGATCAAATAAATGTTTAAGTGAATTATTAAACCTAATTTTAATAATACACAATTCTGAACTCGTAGTCTACTCAAGATGGTGAAGGGCTCAAAAAAGGGTTTCCAAATCATAATAACTTTTTTTTTACTAAAAAGATCCTTTTTTATTACCAATAAATTTGGTTTAAGCATGCAAATATAAACTACATTCCTCTAAGTAATATGGTGATCGAGAACTGCCACTCCATCAATACAGGAGACTAGTTACAAGAAGGTGGCACCTTAGTGCCTTTGTCAATTATGTGTACATAAATCAACTTCTTCAACATACCCATTACATCATGTAAACTAATAAATGAAACACCATCCATGTAGATGGTATGTGTACCATCCACTGCCTGAAATGCTGTGTGTATTAGTGGCTTTAGGCATAGTATTCACTAGCTCGATCTAGAAATCCAACATTCTGTTTGTAATTCATTTTGTATATATGTACTTTTACCTGAATAAACTATTATTATTATTATTATTAATTATTAATAATAATAATTATTATTATTATTATTATTATTATTATTATTATTATTATGTTGGATATTTGAGTCCTCTCCCCTAGCACCACTCTGTAAACAAATACAAATACTGTAGTTTATACAGTTAATCAAATGGGAAAATATAGTTTATGGCCCTTGGAGGACAGGAGGAAATCATCAATAACAACTGCGGTGAAAAGGTTAAATACCTTAGTATTAGTTAGCAAGAAGGACCTGCTGGAGTACTTGGGGTAGCTCTCGCTCGACACCAGCTTTACCGAGATGTGCTCGTACGTCTCCTCATCATCGGGCCAATACTTGTTACAGCACTGCTCACCACTACCAAGCTGCGCGCACAAGGTAACACCCTCATTAACATTCAATTAATACATGCCAAAATATAACACAAAGAATACACTGTTTTCCATTAAATATGCAAATAAGGATAAATTTCTAAAATCTGACAGTGACATTTTTTAACTTTCTGGTCCGGGATAAAAGCTGAAATGGAAAGAAAACACTTTACAATTACTCTTGACCTCCTCCTTATTAGCCAGTATTATTACAGACCAGAAATATATCACATCTCTGCATGCATTTCACTATATTCATCATTAAGCAGGAGAACATCAGAGAAACGTGGCAGTAGCTGCACGTATCAGGGAAAAGTATACCTAAGAAGCTGCATACTCAAACACATGTATTCTTTTTTATTTTTGGCAAAGGAGAACAGGGAAATATAATGCATCTGTGTACATTGCTTCCAAAGATTTATCAACAGAAAAACTCATCTAGGGCAAATTACAGACCATGATTTAATACTACATGCAACAATAACAAGTTGTTGTCCCAAGCAACTGCAAGAGAATATAAACAGTAAACAGTGACATTTTACGTTGTGCTCTAGAGGGAACGAGTCAATTAAATAGGGTGTCGGAAAGTCAAGGAAACAACAGGAGCCGTGAAACAAACACCAGATTCAACACGGACATTACGAAAGATCACGAGGTTGATGAGAAAATGGGAATGGTAAGTGAGAGCGGAGTGACAAGTGACTACAGACTCTAACTGGGGATAAAGACTTAGCAACAAGGCAATACAAACATAAGTTAGAGAGCAGGCAGATGGACACAGTATGAATTAGGAAGCAAGGACTTTAGAAAACAATTACAAACTGGTGATTTAGGTGATACAAGTCATGTAATACAATGTCTCAAAAGTATGGTCACCTCACAAATCAAAATAATACTCAAATACCCAACATTCATCAGCATTCATTCCATTAAATTCAAGACTGAAGTTTTATGCACCTATAAACATTGAACTAACTTATATACACACACCACATTAATATTCATTACAATATGATGCTATATCTGGTAGGTCAAACTGACCCAGAATTCTATCTTTACCAGCTAAGCCTTCTTATGAATTTTTGTAGCGACTGGTCTCTCTAACCATCTTCCAACTTCCTTAAAACACAAGATTGTATGCACATCTACTGAGCATACACGACTTGATAATGGTCCAGGACGGCCCAAAACGTCGTAGCTTCTTCATCTTCTGATGTGTGGTTAGGCCATCATTTCTTATGAGAACTCTATTAAACTAGTACCATAGCAATTACTTTTCATAGATTTATCATATTAAAGAAATTACATTTGAACCAGCTTTCCTGAGTGTAAATATGGTCCAAAATATTTACCTCTTGCACCAGCTTTTTCTAGCCCTGGCCTGCACCAGTGACTAATATAAATTCAAAGTTAACATAAAGCTAACTCTAAAAAAAAATGCAACTGATTGGAACTGTGCACAACAATGAACAAAGTTATGTGACAGGTCAACAGATGGCAGTGCTGTAGCAAATTTAATTTCAATTCAATATAGGAGGAGCCAAGCACCCCAAGACCAGGCCTAAGAAACCTTTTCCCAGGAGGGGAAATTTTAGCTACATGGTGGTAAGAGGGAGGGGAGGGGGTAAAGATAGGCTCCCTTTCCTCCTGAAACGGTTGGAAGCTGACCATCACCCCCTCACCTCACCCCTCAGACGCAGTGTCGCCTCCTAGTGAGACGCTGTGGAACTAAACGTGACGTCACGGGGCACCCACGTGCTGCTACCTATCAGGAAGAGTTTCCACAAAATGCGAGAAGCCCCATGCATGTGATTGGTCAAAAGGTAATGATGTCATGGGAGTCCTGTAAGGCACTTGAGATGACTGGGGCAAGCATTCGGTCTAGAACGCTCAAGGGAGGAAGAGGCAGCCTTACGAGCTCCAAGGCAGGTCTCTCTGTCTTAAGTCCTAAGAGTTTAGTTTACCTAAATGCCAGTACTATCCCAGATCTGAATCACTGGGTAATAGTTGTCAAGGGATTTATCTACATCGTAGTGGAAGATTAATTACGATGCCAACAACGGTTCGAGGACAAGCCTAAAACCACCAGTATCATACGTAAAATACTAGCAGTGTGAAATACCTGTAGAGAGACACGTGTGATTTCATAGAAAGCAGAGATAGTGGTGAAATCTCGAGTAACCAGCAAAGGTGAGCAGTGTAATTCACGTGTGCTCGTATCTTGATTCATTGTGGTAAGACTCAGTGTCACGTGGAGTCTCAGAGGAAGTGATTGTCCATTCAGCAGTTTATCATCTTTAGTGACAATCAACTGTGAAATATCTCGAGAAGAAGTGTGGAAAAGCTCTGAGGATAGTGAACGCGTGATGGTTCGAAATATTGGGGTCGAGAAGATGTGAGAAGGTACCTCACCCGGGAGACAGTGTGTGTGGGATACGTGTTTGGCACGCTCCCACCTAGTGAGTGAAAACTGGGAAGTGGGTGTGTGTGGGCGAGCCACTTCTCTTCTCACTGAGTGGGGTTAATGTGCCAGCATTCTACAGTGTTGAGTGGGTGTGATTACTCTAGAGCTATTGCTGGTCGTGTCAAGGTGATTGACCAGCTCGCGTGGTGCAACCAAGTTACTCCTGGATTTACCTTGTCATCTGGAAAGCTGGAGGTGTGAGCCTGATTCAACATTTTGGATAAAGTGTTGGGCTCCCTCACTTATATTCAGTCATACTAAAGTATGGAGATGCCTGGAACATCATCGAGGATTATGAGTGGTGTAGTTGAATGTAAGTACAAGACCGGGCTTAAATTGTTGTTGTGGACATATTACTTTTGGTGATCAATAATCATCCAATCTCGATTCAGAGTATATCTCGCAACAAGAGTTCTCTGTGTTTAGATTCAAGGAGATTGTGAAGTGTTAAACTGTCAACTCAGTAGGAGTGACAGGTTTACCTTCGAGTGTCGCGTCGCTAGTGAGTGACCGATGAACGTATGTGTGGACGTTAATATAAACACATTTGAGACAAGATTTTTTATCATCTGTTACAGGAAGTGTGGGGATTGATTAATTACTACGGTCATCTCAAGCAATGAATATAAATTCAGTGTGAGGACTCATCCATTACCTGCTTATTTGCTTGCAAGTAAATTGCAGAGCGAACGACCTACATGTGAAAGGATCTTGGTATTGCAGGCGACATTAGAAGACCGTCCTGGCCTTCATCTCCATCAGGAATACCTAGGGCCAGATTCACGAAGCAGTTACGCAAACACTTACGAACCTGTACATCTTTTCTCAATCTTTGGCGGCTTTGTTTACAATTATTAAATAGTTAATGAACTCTGAAGCACCAGGAGGCTGTTTATAACAATAACAACAGTTGATTGGGAAGTTTTCATGCTAGTAAACTGTTTAATAAATGTAACCAAAGCCGCCAAAGATTGAAGAAAGATGTACACGTTCGTAAGTACTTACGTAACTGCTTCATGAATCTGGCCCCTGGATCTTGGCAATTTCCTCACGCCTCCGAGGTGTATTCATTTGTTTGTCGCTCGGCTGTTGTGACTACTGCAAAGTGATCTCTTGCAGCGTGGCCCTCACTGGTGTTGGTGCTGCTGCATGCAATTGCAGGTTGTTGCGGGTGGCAACAATAGGCAAGGCAAACATTCGAATCCATGCCCACATAAAGTAAACCCACACATTCTGGCTCGGTAACGTGGGGCGTTACTGTGAGTGTCGTGTAGAGAGGTCAATCACATTCTTGATGCCCAGCGTGGGGCTAATAGATTGTTGATGTGATTGTTGGGTTCACTACACTACCCTAACACTCCTTATTGCAGTTAATGAAGCAAACAGTGGTTATGAAGAGGTTAACCATGTCACTGCAACAACTTATTTTACATCTACTGTATAGTAAGAAGATTATCTTCTCTTTTCATTGGCATCTTCTCCAGGCATCCCGAGCCTCCTCAGACATCCCCAGGCCTTCCTGGCCTCCACCAGGCATTCCTGGCCTTCCCAAGTATCCCCCAGCCTCCCCAGGCATTGCTGGTCTTTCCAAGCATCCTAGTCTCCTTCAGATATCTCCAGCCTCCCTGGGTCTCCCCAGGCATCCACAAGCATCTCTGGCTTACTCCAGCATCCCCGGCATTCCCAGATGACAGCCCAAAGATGCCTTGTCTCCTCAGGCATTGCAAGGCTTCAACATTTTCTTTTACATACATCACATTCTTGTAATTTCAATCAAGTTTGTGATCATAAATGGATATTTCCTAAGATAACATTGAATGCTATCCACAGTCACTATTCTTTTTTTTTTGTAAATAGTTGTAGTATAGTATATGGTAAATAACCAATGGCTTCTCTTTTCAAGTCATCTCTCCAATGTAAAATATTATACTCCTAAACAATCAAAATTAATTTTGTGTCACGGAGGAGCTGGCTGCCAGGCCAGAGAGTGGGAAGCCAGCCAGCCAGCCATAACAGTGTTATACACACTATCTCTCTGTTGTAAATATTACTACATCAGTGGAAGAATTGATCGAAGCAATCATACGCCGATTCATTCTGAATCACATACCACAACACAAAATAATCTCGCATTGACACACAAAGGAAAAAGTATATGTAAATAATTCAGAAAAGCTAAAATATTAGCAGACAAGCATCTAAAAACTTGGCAACATAATTGCTTTCAACAAAGGCAGCCAAGAGTGCAACACGCAGCGCACATACAACCACAAGCTTGTAGTAAGACAGTCAACGCAAACACAGCTCTTAATGTAACAGTCATTCTCATTCAATAATATAAAAGGGGTAAACTTTACAAAAATCAATAAATTTATCATTGTAAAACAGGAAAACTGGGCGAGCTGCCAAGGTCCATCTAAAATCAACAGGTTTGAGTACACATAACTGATATTCCATTATTTACCTGACCATGTAGTACCTAATGGGAGCATTAATAGTAATTTGGATCAACACACATGAAGTCATTTTT